CTCCCGCCCCGCCGCGCCGCCCCACGACCCCGCCGCCCCCGCGGCCCCCGCGGCGCCCCCCGGATGTTGTTGGGCGCCTGGGGCTGGATTCGGCACGGACAGCTTGGCGGCCATGGCCTTGAAGTGCCTCATGTCCTCGGGGCGCAGCAGCGTGTACACGGCGCCTGTGCGGCCGGCGCGCGCGGTGCGGCCGGCGCGGTGCACGAAGACCTGCGTGGGGGGATGGCGGGTGGGGAAGCACTGTGTTTTGATAGTGCGCCAAGGCTGCCGGTTCGTTGGCCGGACTGCGGCGCGCGGCTGCAGGGGAAAGAGCGTAGGAGGGGGCCGGCTCGAAATGGGTGAAGGACAGGGCCATGCAGGGGAGCCCGTCCCCCCGCACCGCCGCCGGCGACCCGGCGGCCAGCCGCCGTGTCCTGCGCGACGCCAGCGCCCTCGGCGCGCCCGGCCCGGGGTGCGCCGCGGGGACGGGCGCCCGGGCGCGCCGCAAAGACGCGCGCCCGGGGGCGCGGCAGGAACATACACCCAGACGCGCGGCACGCCCGGCCGAGCGGCGGCGCCGCAGCCGCCCGCGGTGTGGCGTCGCGCGTCTCTGAGCCCCAAAACCCCCCGCACCTTGGGATACGTCGGCGCGTCGTAATTGATGACCGCCCCCACCCCCTCCACGTCCATGCCCCGCGCCATCGCGTCGGACGCCACCAGCACGCGCGCCGCGCCCGAGCGGAAGGCGGCCAGGTTTGCGGCGCGCCGCGCGGGCGCCATGTGGCCGGCGAGCTCGACCGCGCGCTCTGGCAAGCCAGGCAGGGCCGCGAGCAGCAGAAACAGCCTGCGGGCAGTTTTTTGAGGCGGGAGGGAGGGGGGCGAGCATGGGGTGTGAGGCATGGCGTTTGACGGGGGTCGTGCGAATGGGTGTGTTTGAAAAGGGCGGGCGTGAGTTGGGGCGTGCGGCCGAGCGAGGCGGGGCTGCAGGTTCACCGGGCTTCTGAGGGGGGGGTGGAGAGGACCCGGTGGCATGGGGAGAGGGGTTGCCGTTGCGGACGGCGGCCGCCCGCGGCGAGCCGCCGCGCCGCCCACGCGTCCGTGCGACAGGGGTCGCCCGGCGGCCGCCAATCAGTGGCGCCGCACCTGTGGGTTGTCTCGACCGAGGACGCAAACACGAGCGTCGGCACACCCTCCAGCCGCCTCAGCAGCGCCGCGAGCGCGAGCGGCTTTGACCGCGCCGGCGCGACGACCCGGTGCAGCGCCAGCCCCGCCGGCAGCGCGTGGCGGCGCCCGCCGAGCGCGGCGAGCGAGATGAAGCGCGGGGCCTGCAGCTGCAGGCGCGCCAGCTTCGACGGGTCCCGCGTGAGCGTCGCCGATACCATGAGCTTCACGGCGCGCGGGCGGCCGTAGGGGAGGAGCGGCGGGCGCGCGCAGTAGCCCGGAAGCTGCCGCCGGCCGTAGTCATCCGCACCGGCCTCCTCGCCCTCCTCCTGCTCCTTGTCCCCCTCGTCTGGCCGAAGGTGCTGCTGCTGCTGTTGGTGGTGGTGATGACTGTTGTGATTCGCATCGGATTGGTTGTGTCCGTCGTTCAGCTGTGCCAGCACCGCGGGCAGCCAGTTTTGGTAGTCCTGGCGCAGCAAGCGGTCGGCCGGGCGCAGCGCTGGCAGGAGAGCTGCGGAGACGACGCGCCAAGCGAGTGTGCATCACCAGGGCCGCCGGTGGGCGGCGGAGGAGGGGGGGGGTTGCACATGGACTGTGCGGCCAGCGAGGCGTGTGCGGGGCAGCGTCGCGGTCGTGCAACACACTCACTCGGCAGCTGTGGGGTGCCCCAAACTGAAGACAGTCGCTGCGCTGACCCGACAACGCCGCTACCCCAGGCGGTGGTCGATGGATGTGCAAGCGAGAGAGAACATGCATGTGTGCGTGCTTGTGTGCATGCGTGCGTGCGTGCGTGCGTGCGTGCGTGCGTGTGTGTGTGTGTGTGTGTGTGTGTGTGTGATTGTGTCGCGCCCCGACCGCCCTCACCGCAGCGTGAACCCAGGCGTGCCCTGCACGTGCGCCATCAGCCGCCCCGGCGTCGCCACCAGCACGTCGCACCCCGACTCCGCCGCCGCCGGCCGCCCCGCCACCGCCGCCGCCTCGGCCGCCACGGACTGCTGCGCCGCCGCGAGGCCGACGGTCAGCGCCAGCGCGGGCGCGAGGGCGGAGAGGGTGCGGTGGACTTGGACGGCCAGATCGCGCGTCGGCACCACGACTAACCCCGTGATCCGGCGCGGGCCGGCCGCAGGCAGCGGCGGCCTGGCGGTGCGCGGG